AAAAATAAGGAAGCGGATAAATACGTGGGTTACATTGTTTTGACATCACTGTAATATTTGCGAACGACTCTCAACCATCATCCTAAGTTACTACAATACTGTGCGAATCTATGTGTCTCAGAAAGTCAAAAACTGGAGCATCGAGTACATACTTTGGATAATTAACCAAATCAGCATGACTTTCAAGGCAGTTGAACAGAATAAGTAGATGGTGTACATGTTTTTCTGTGAAAGATCTGGCGACCAGAAAATCGTTGATTTGCGTAAATAAGAAATTTATATATCTTACGACTTCATCTGTAAACCACTGAAACGTTTAGGCAGCATCTTTTGGTCATAATGGTACCCTCAACAATTTGAACAGGCCGAAGGGTGTGACGTTGGCAGTCTTTCTGATGCTACTGGAATTTGATGTCGAGCTCAGCCTCAACCCAGCCTCAAAATAATGTTTTCAATGTGAAATCAAAATGGTCTAGCATCTATGGAGCCTGCAACCTGCCTGAACTCGCATCACATTAGATTCAGATATATGAGGTAATTTAAAGGTGGGTTTGGTAGAAGTACACCCATTGTCATGTTGATCATTAGACACATACACTATACGTAAAAGCCTACAGATGTGGAATGGTAATCATTATAACAAGAAAAATTAATTTTTTTGGCCCACCATAAAATGGAGACGGAACAAGTGCGTCAATTCCAAAATAGTAATAAAGTTATTTCGAAAATGGTAGCGCACTATTTAAAAAGGATAGTGGTATTATTCCTCGTTGAGTTGAATTTACTGTTTTGATCGTATATCATACATCAAAATTACTGTTTACACTTAAATTGAATTTATTTCAGTTAAAGTGATATAGTAATTGTGTTTATTGACCTTGCCTTTGTTTATTAACTGCATCAAAGCATATATGATCGAATTTGACTTTCTTTATTCGGATAAAGTCTGAAATGTTTTACATTTCCATTTTTGTGTTACTATTTTTAGCTTATTTTTAAGATGATAGTCTCTGCTCTGGACAGGCATTTTACTTATTACCTGTGGAATAAGGAATTCAGTGTGATGAGCGGGAAACGTGGTTCTATAAGTTGTGTACCCGCTTAAATCCCATTATCTATAAAAGGTACTCGAAGCCCAACTTCCATTGACATTTTATGTTTTATTGTCCAAGCAAAACAATATTTATCCAAGAGGCAATTAGCCTTCTGGCGTTGATTAACAAAAGGTTGATGAGAGCTCTACCGGTACTGATAGAGAAGAATGCGACAGTGTCGTAAGTGCTGTTACGGCACGTATCAGACACCCGATTGTGCAACACTCAGTAGAGATTACTATCCTGAAGCAATTAATGAGCTACGCACCATTAGATACAGGTGGCCAAGTTGCTACAGCAGCAGTTGATGACCCAAACAAAACCATTGTTTTCCCGACTAGTTCTAATGCGGAAGCTGCAACTGATGGGAAATTGGTGATGCGGAGACATAAAAGAGAAGGAAAGATAGCCCAAATAGTGCCTGTTTAGTTGGAAAGTCCTTGGTGGATTCATATGCTGTGTTGCAGTCTACTCCGCCAAAGTCCAGAAGTAAGACAATATTTAGTCCTGTCGTAGATGAGAATAGTTTGGTCTCATCAAAGATTTTCGTGAGTCATTCGCTCTACCTCAAGGCTCCGTTACAAGAAAAATTAATGGTAAGCTCCCAGCAGTTAAGAGGCAATATCTGACATCACGATCGAAAGCTGTGGACTCAACATTCAAAGAAGTTAAACCCGTTCCTAGTTTAATCATTTGGAATCTAGAGAAGTAAAAAGACAATGAGCCTGCTAAAAGGTGTGCACACGATCTGGAGTTAGTGGAACGTGGCATAAGAAATGTGCTGCCTGAAGGTGTTTCAGAGGTACATATCATGACGTTAATTTTAGGAAAAGTGTGTTCATGCACGGTGTACACAGTAATAGTTATCATTATACTACTGATGGTACATCTCTTCGAGGAACATAAAGACCTGGGAGTAATAATTGGTCATGGCTTGAAAAAAACTACGTATTGCAACGCAGCTGTTTCCAAAGGTCACCGTGAGTTATGGTCGCTTCACTGAGCATTCAAATGGTTCCATGTGATGTTTCGAGTACGAGAAGCATGTTCACAGCCGTGTGTCTACGAGCGAAAATTGATGAGTCACATCATGAGAGAGCGAATCAGACACAGAAGGTCAAAGTCAAAAATTTTAAACAGCAATTCTACGCCAATAACGGCAAATGTACAAATTATGCAAAATCATAAAAAATTCGAATTATAACAGAAAATAATTACAAAATAAGTTCTTGTTAACTGTCTTCATACTGGTTCACTTTCTATTCTTTCTATTATTTACTGAAGACTTGAATATTTTGATGAAGCAGTTGATTCGACAGTGACCTTGACGGCTATTTACATTTCGAAGCTGAATTGCGTTTCTCACATCAACACTAGGATTGTTTGCAGAAGTAAAGTATGTGGACAAGCCAAACAGGTCTTGGCGTGATATCATTCTCTGAATTAAAGTGGATGTCATTTTTTGAACAGAAACAATAATTTGTGTACATTCTTGATCACCTTATTTTGGAGATTTTATCCGCTTTGGAATAAATTTTGGGAAAACGCCATAGGAATTTCGGGCACTTGGCACAAGAAAACCCGAAACTTCCCCATGTTCCGAAAAATCCCCGAATTTTCGGGGAAATCTAGGGTCTTCCCCATTTTATCCAGAATCTTATAACACTTGGGATTTGCTTCCCCAAATTTCCTCAGACATTGGGAGAGACTAATAAATTTCTTACGGCTCTTGGGGAAACCCAAGAATTTACCCAGAAATCTCGAATGTTTTCCAAAATATGGAGATTGGGTTAATACCTTGTTCATGTGGAAATTCTCTATCAGTTGTAATTGTATAACTTCATAGTAAATAGTTCCATAATCATACAATGTTTTTTGAAAAACATATATAGAATCTCGCTCTCAATGCATGTGCGCCTACATGCTATTGATGTGTTCACTTATCCACAACTAGCCTGATAGCATCAAGGCTAGTAAACTAGTCAGTTAGTAGACGTCGTTCTCTCATCTGGTTAAAAGTCGTGGAAAACAATCAAAGTCTTCTAGTTATTTATCATTTTAGGTCAAAAAGTCTCTCGAAATCTGTCTCAAGTGGGCACTAAAACTCATGAGTAATACTACCTGGCTACATAACATTTTTGGCGAGACTATAATTTATGGACGAACCAATAAGGTATAAGATAATAGGCTTCGGATATTGGCGCGAAACTCACTCATCCAATTTGGTTAAATAGTTTTGGCATTATAGCTGATGTCAGTTCGTGATGAAAACCCGAAATCTAATTCCTGACGTTAATTATCAACTGTAAAACAATTCTAATTCCTCACACAGGTTTAGAACCCTCATGTGGTCATATATATTAGGTGGACACTCTCAAGGTCAGTCTAGCTTAGCTCAAAGGTCGTCCATAAATTATAGTCTCACCCTTGTTGCTCTATGGACATCTCTTAAACTAGAAATTAAACTGGGAATGTTTTGAAGTTCAAATAAGATCCGCGTTTTTAGTTCCCGATTACTTAGACATATGTACTCACCTGTCACATGAGTTTTCCTAATGTTGGCTTTTAAAATGTGCACTTGGATGATGTCCGTTAACAAGTTTATCGAGATTACTTCATATTCTGTTGACCATATAAGTCTGTTCGTTTACAAGTTACTTCAGTCGGCTGAATACCGGTTATTTTCTCTGCGTATCAGTACTGAAGGATACAATCTTAATTCATCGTGATTAGACAAAACAGTTTAAAACCAGAATGTCAATTATCTTATATCTGTTTGTCAAAAAAACTTTTCCGTAGTGACCAATCCCTGTTTCGACCCCAGAGCGCTGCGATTATGACCATTAAATGGTTTTTATTATGAGATCTTGAGTTTATTTGGGTGTTGGAAAATTAGACACAATACTTTCAAAAGTTTTGTCAAAGAAAACATGCATAGCACGTCATTTCTTGAAAAAAATTCTTTTTATTGTTAAAAGTGTCCTAAACATACCTTACAAACATTTAATCAATATTCATAAATAACTTATATTGTATCACTACCTTTCTCCTGAATTAGATGGAGAGACTATAATTTACGGACAAACCAATCGAATTTCAGTTAATAGGTTTTGAATTTCGGCACGAAATTCATCCATTCACTTGACTATATAGCATTTTAGCACCATAGCTGATATCGGTTCTTAGTGACAACTCTAATTCCTAAAGTTAACGTCCAGCTGCAAATACTAATCCTAATTCTTCACATTAATTTGTAACCCTCACTTAGTCCTAGTAGGCAGTCGGACACCCTTAAGGCCACTAGCATCACTCAAAGGTCATCCATAAGTTATAGTCTCCCCAAATGTTTTGCAATCATTATGCTGCTACTACCACTTTTTATATCCATCTTGATAGTTTCATATCGTTGTGCCTATGGGTTTTAAGTACCTGAACCGTTGTACATATGTGCCAAGCTCTGTGTTTCTTATGTCCGACTGACCGTGACAAAAGCAACCAAGTACAGGTAGACCCATTTTGGATTGGCAGTAACCCTGTAATATAAACTGTTACGTTCGTTATTCTGTTCCGTTGGATTGATGCTACCATGCTATTTAGATCAAATTTACATGAAGGAGGCTTTAGATCTCTACTCTAGTGACCAGAAGTGGAGTGCTCGAACCACCCAGACATAAACCGTTGGACTTGTGTTATTCATCATATTTATTCCCGTATAAGTTTCTTGTCCTTCTAGGATAAAAAGCGGCACTGCTCCGTCGTTGATATTGCAGTTGTATGTCTGTTAACGAATGCTAGTCAAAGGTGATACATATATTTAAATATCTACGATCGAGCTACTACATACTTAATAACGTCCTACTTTCATTTTTATGTGTGCTAGGAGTTTTGACTTTAACATCGTCACGAATGCGATTATCGCGTAGCATTTACTTCCTACGTCAAAAATGCATCATTTTTCGTCAAAAGTGTAAATTGACGGAGAACAGTCCCATTCGTGTACGTTTCGCTCCAAGTCCTACAGGTTTTATGCATTTAGGCGGTTTACGTACTGCCTTATTTAACAAGTTGTTTGCTGTGAAACACTCGGGGAAATTCATACTACGTATTGAAGATACGGATAAGGTAAAGTAATTATTCCTACATGCTTATTCAGTAGTCCAGAGTTCAACCATATGCTAAGGACGATATTATCGAGTCGCTTCACTGGTCTGGACTAACTCCTGACGAAAGTCCAACCACTGGTGGAAATTATGGTTCGTACATTCAAGTATGTTCGTTAGAATTTTGTAAAATGTCCTTATCATAAATGGTCACTATTTGGAGAAGTTTAGTCTGAAGTTCATTCTTGTGTTGTTGCTCAACAAGTACGGTACAAATGTGTATTTCGATAACTTAACACGTCAGGTAATGATAGTACTTACCCACTTGAATCAGTCGGATCATGTTTTACTTTCTCAATCGTGTTGAAACAGTTTTGATAATATTTTGTGCACTAATTATGCCATTGGTCAGTTTTCAAGACTCCTGAAGCATGTATCAATAGCCACAGAAACCAATTGCTTATCTGAATATTAGCTTTTTCACTTGTTTTTTTTACTTTATTGATTTTTATGTAGTCACTTAGAGAGTAGGTAATTTTAATTGTTATTACTGATAAAATATCTTTATCTTATAATGTCATGTACTTCTGTTGTTGCTTTCATTACGGCTCAGATTAATTGATTTTTCCTACCCCTAGTAAAAGTGGCATTCAGTGCTCGAACTTGCCAATGAAGTAGTACTAATATTCTTTACAATAGCATCATGTATATGGAATATTGGAATATGAACATGGTTACCTAGTCTTAGTATGTGTAGCAAAAATATTTTATTTGTTCCAGTGGCTATAGTTTTCTCCTTTCTGGATTAAGAGCTGGTAGACCAAAATGTAACATAAGTTCATTCAGTCGTTGACTGTTGGTATAAATTATGTCGGTCGATGCTAACTAACTGGCTGTGGTCCACGCAATACCTGTGATCATTGACATGGCGCCAAATCGGTCACAATCGCTCAGTTATATTTATTCATTGGTCATCTGTAAATCGATGTAGTTTCTCTTTATTCGTCGGGAAACACACTTTACTGTGATAGTTATTGTTTACTATGTGCTTATAGTTCTTATAATCATTATACCTGAATTTGGATTGAATAGCTACTTGTGGAGTTTTTTCAGTGAATGATTGAAGGTATCCGTTTACATATCGGGTGTACACATTTAATAACTTACTAGTTTGATAAGGTTTAGTGAAAATGAAGTGTATCAATTGTATATATCTTTATGCTATGATCTCCTATTACGACCCAGCTACTCTTATTACTTAGCATTCGGACACTACGTCACTCGACTAGTCGCAAAATCAGAACACGGTTGGACAGGAAGGTAATTATGCTCTAAATAAACAGGGTGAAAGGGGACTATGAGTCACAGTAAAAAAACACGTTAATATGTTTATAATTTTATGCGAGAAGATTCTAGAGTCTTCTCCAATTATTCTCTTGCATCTATTGACCTAGAAAGGACCAGTCAGAATGCTTGAATGTAGTCCTTCACGGAACATGCTTTAATTCAATATACACCCCGTTAACACTATCTATTTACGGGAATGATTATAAATTGTAAAGGTTAGGTTTATAAATCTCTTTATTTAATCATAAAAATCATTTGTTATAACTCTTCATATATCTTCATTAGATAGTCATCGTCCTACGTTGTAGCTGACTGACTGGATAGTAATTCTCCTACAATTCGGCTTATGATACCTTATTTTCAGCTCTTTATAATCATTCACACAAGTTAGGTATCGTATTAACTTTGTTATGGATTGAATTTAACAATCACCTGCAATGTTCATCTAGGTTTACGTTTATTCGATAACTATTTCCAGTGTAAGCATATCTTTAACATCAAAAGCTTGTTGTATTGACATGAAAAATATTATTTCCACATCATTTTCTGTTTTCTGTTGGTCTTTTAGTCGGAAAGAAGACCCCTGTATTCATCTATTGCTCAAAAGTTAATTGATGAAGGATTTGCTTATCGATGCTTCTGCTCTTCAGAACGACTAGCTATCTTACGCAAGGAACAAAGTCGTCGTAGGGAACCTCACCGTTATGATAATCGTTGCCGTAATTTATCTCAAAGGGAAATCGATGAAAACTTATCAGCTTCTCGGCCATATGTTATTCGGTTCAAGGTTTGTTATTGGTCTCATAATAATTTACAGTCGTTTTTAAGTTTGAAAAACCATTAAGTGTTGTATTTTCGGAAAACAACATATTAAACTGCGGTCACAAGAGGCTTTTACACCAACCGACTTTCGGGATATTCAAACTACTAGCCTGAACTGATCGTTTTCATCTCCGAACCCGAAAGTCCCGAGTTCTACGTTATTTTCAATCATGGTTCCACGAAACAGTAAAACAGCTTTTTCAGTCCTCCACAGTTTTCAGTGTTTGTTCGTCTAATTAAGTTTCCTGGTATTATAATCGTAAATGCTAAAAAACGTGTGATTGATTAAAAATTCGTAATAAGTGTGAACAGTTACACACCATTGAAGAATCGTAATTTCATTAGTTGTCAACCATCAGTCTACGTCTGAAAATCATTTTACTTCCCATTTAAAATAACAAGAGTTTTGAGTAACGTCAGATCAACGAATCATAATTCAAGAGGACAAGTTCTTTTTTTAAATTAATGTGTAAGAATGTACAATACTAGTGGACGAACTCTTAGATATCCAAGGTTTTACAGTTTATACGATCACTACCATTTTAGTATCGTGTTATATCGCACAGCGTATTAAAAGACATATGTAAAAGTTATGTTTGAATTAGTCGGTATTAAAATTAAAAAGTGAATTTCACGTTCATGATGTCTCATATACCAAAAGAAAGCGCCATAAGTTAAAAGATCATCAAAGAAAAGGGGGGCAAGAAGGAGTTGATTAGTTTTAATCAATAGACTTATGTCACATGCAAAAGTTCAAAATAAAATAGTAGAAATGTGTCTTATTTTCCGAAATTCGCATGTATAATCCAGTGGTAGTCATTCACTTGACCTCACGTAGTCAATATGGACAGATTACGCGATTTACTCTCCGCGTATCTTGGATCCAAAATGATAGAGAGCACAGCATATGTCACTAGGGCGATATCCCATAATCATAGCTAATAAACCCTGTTATTCAACATGAAATTGAAGGCACCAAACACGTGATTTAGAGTACAGTTTCAGGAAACCAGGAATAACACTTCTTAAATTCAAACAGTAACACTGATGGTACATGGAGATAATGATGGAACTATGACAAAAGGTTTGATATAGGGATGAAGAAGTGACGAAACTTTAGAAATTATGTTTCCTACTAATTGGGGTATTATAGGAATATCATTATTTTACTTTTTTTACCCGTTTACATCATTCGATCATTATCTATTCCATAGTACATTTTGAGGTTTTTGATGCGTTACATATATATGAATTTGTTGATTTTTAACTGCATGAAGAACAGCAAATAAATGAATAAGATTTTTAGTACCTACTTCTTCATTCTTAATCAGCCCACAGATTTAAGAATATTAAATTCGTTGTAAACAAAATTAAAGAAATGGTAAAAGGAGTTAAGTGCAGTTTATAAGAGAAGATAAAGTAAATTACATGAACGATCAAACTAATTTGTAATTATCAGAAGCTAAAAATTAAAAAAAATATCATTATAAATTAAAAGAAAATAGCGCTGTTTTTTTTAAAATTGTTAAACAAACATCATTTGAAGAAATTAAAGTAATACTATTCATGGAATAATTGAAATTAGTGAATTTTAGTGGAAGATGTTAACATTTAATGAATTAGGAGAGATAGGTTTATGCAAAAATTGAAGGTAGAAAAGGTCAAACTAAAAAAAAGATGAGAAGGTGACAATTAAATATGAAGGAAATGAAAGATAAAGTAAGAAAAACGCTGTTAAAATGTGTTTTTATATGCAGGCCTAACCTTATTTTGCCTACACTTAACGCTTCTTTTTATGCAAGTGAGATATATGTGCACAGCTTTCAGGAATCTTGGTTTTATGTTATGCATAGTATTGTATAAGCACAACGCTAGATGGTTATGCACGACTACATGTTTTGGAATAGAGGATTTTATATTTCAGCGTTGTCCTTCACTGAGTCACTTTGGGATTGTTCCCCAATGAATGACCTGTGTACATAGCTCTTCAAGGGCAGGTGGATGAGTAAATGCACATCAGTTAGTTAAGGTTACTTATCCCCTTACGCAGTTGTGTATCAGTGAGCGACTAGTATAGGATACTGGTAATGACTCTGCATCGAGCGTCCTAGCGACTTTGACCAGGTAATTACTTAAAGTTTACTCCGCAATATCACTTTTGACTTCTGGATTAGCTTATAATTTCTTCGGTACATTCATGATATCTGAATAACCCTTAGGATAATTAATACTTTCTTCAATGAACCTTTAAGTTACTTGTTCGATCGCATCGTCGACAGAAGAAACTAAGTAATTTATTCTCTTTGCGGTAAAACTGTGGTTTCAACGTTATGTTGTCTGTAAGCCACTCCTATCAGGACTATTGACATTTATTATTAGAGAAACGGTCATTTTTAGAATTTTTCTTGAATTTGTTTATGCAAATTGAAATCATTCTCACCAGTGACAAAGTTAACAAGTAGTAGTAATTGGCTTTTTTATTTCATATATGAATGTAACTTCAGATACAAGTATTCCATTTTTGTTACATATTTTTGGATATTATACGTAGAAAATGGGGTTAAAAAAGCCAATAGAGGATAACAGTTTTCTTGTTGATAATGAACATTATCTTCTACCAAGAGTTGACACGATTTTTGATATCGTATAAGGATAAGGCGTTAATTTTAGGTGAATGAGTCAATCACTTCTTTTATCTGGTAGGTTATTTTAATCCCATTGGATTTGGCAGTCAACAAATTCTACGGTGTTTTTTCATTATTAATACTAATATTATTATTACTACTATTATTGTCATTATGGTCATTATTATTATTATTATTATTATTATTATTATTATTATTATTATTATTATTATTATTATTATTATTATTATTATTATTATTATTATTATTATTATTATTATTATTATTATTATTATTATTATTATTATTATTTTCCACATTATTCACCTTCTTTTATACTTATACAGCGGCTCGTCTTTGGTGGAATTCCGACTGTATCTAAACGTTCTCGAGTCACTGTCCGGTTGAAAATTGTATGTTACCACCGAATACGAGGACTGAAGCAGATTTTCTGAAACCACGTGCACCATTCAAACTGGCTGCCTTCAACGTTCGCACATTTATGCAGGTCGGACAACAGATAGGGCTGGCTATGTCTTTGGAAAGTCTTAATATCGACGTGTGTTGTCTATCCGAGACCCGTATTCAAGACTCTGGCGAAGTACTACAAATTCGATCTCCATCTGTCGCTTCGAAAAGCTTGTTTTACGTGCGCTTATCCGGGGACCCTGTGGCATCTTCGTCTGGTCTTGCTGGCGTTGGTGTCGCACTAAGCGCTAGAGCTGAGGTAGCACTAGTCGATTGGATCCCCATTAACAGTCGGTTATGTGCTGTTAGATTAGAAAGTTCCATCAAAGTGAGAAGAAATCGGCGTGAGAAACGATGTCTTTTCGTCATCTCCGCCTATGCCCCGACAGATTGCAGCCCGGATGCAATCAAGGATGAGTTTTACCACCAGTTATCAGTTCTTCTCCAGAAAGTGCGTTCGACAGATATTGTAGTACTAGCCGGAGACTTGAATGCTCAGGTCGGGCGTCTAGGCACAGAAGAGAGTCGTTTAGGTGGCCGATGGGGACTCGTTGGTCGCAGGTCAGATAACGGGGACCGTCTACTGCAACTTTGCACAGACCACAACCTGTTTCTGGCTAGCACTAACTTTCGGCACAGTCATCGCCGATGTGCCACCTGGCGTCCTCCCTCTGCATCTCAAGCCTGGACTCAGATTGATCACATCGCGATCAGCTACCGCTGGCGTGGTTGTGTACAAGACTGCCGCTCCTTTTGGAGTACCTATCTGGACTCTGACCATGCCTTGGTCTGCGCCAATCATGCCTTACTTTTCAGTGGACAACGAAGTGAACGCCATCAACGGATTGATGTTAGCAAGCTGGTTGCAACTTCTGTTGCAAATAAGTATCGAACCGAGCTAGCCTCTAGGCTAGCTACCACTCCACCGAAAAGTATAGATGAGCATTGGTTGCAATTGCATGACGCCATGAAAATGGCGGGAACAGTCAGTTGTGGGTTTGCGAAACGTCCCGCTTTTAAGCCCTGGGTTTCTTCTGGTTCCTTACAACTCATTGAAGCCCGTCGGTCTACTCCGAGTAACCGTGAGTTTGACCATAAACGAAGGATTTTACGTAAGGAAATCGGACAAAGCTTGCGTAAGGACCGAGAAGCCTGGTGGTCGATGCGTGCTAATGAGCTGGAAGCAGCAGCTGCATCTGGTAACTACCGGAAGCTCTTCCAACTCATCCGAGCCACTGGCAGCAAGAAGTCTGGTGTGAGTGAAACAATCTGCGAGGATGATGGGATGCCAATCACTAACATCCATCGACGTCTTGGACGATGGGCAGAATTTTTCGAAGGGCAGTTCAACTGGCCTGCTGCTCCGGCAACATCGGTCAGACTGTCCTGCCCTCCATGGCCGGTGACGACTGATCCACCAAATGAGGAGGAAGTCCGCAAGGAACTCCAACTCTTGAAGCGTTACAAATCACCTGGCCCAGATGACTTACCTCCGGCTCTTTTTAAAGATGGTGGTGACTTTTTGACTAAGGAATTGACGACGTTGTTTACAAAGGTTTGGGAACTAGAGAGTGTACCAACGTCATGGAATGAGTCGATAGTTGTCCCTATCTTTAAAAAAGGGTTCACGTCGTTCTTGTAACAACTATCGGGGGATAAGTTTACTTCCGATTGCGTCCAAGCTATTGGCTTCCGTCATTCTTCGTAGGTTGTTCAAAACCCGAGAAAGATTGACTCGCGAGGAGCAGGCTGGGTTTCGTTCTGGTCGAGAATGTATTGATCATATCTTCACCCTCCGCCAAATGTTAGAACACCGCCATACTTTTCAAAGGCCAACAATCGTAGTGTTTCTTGACATCAGGGCTGCCTTCGATTCGTTGGATAGGACTGTTCTCTGGGATTGTCTATTGAAGAAGGGTGTGCCTGAGAAGTTTATTAACATCCTAAAAGCCCTGTATAAAAACACCTCAGGCAGAGTGAGGGCATACAACCACCTCTCTCCATTGTTCCATTCGAGCAGTGGGGTTAGGCAGGGTTGCCCAATCTCACCATTCCTCTTCAACTTTGCCATCGATGACATTCTGGAAACAGCTCTGATGAATGTAAGTAATGGTGGTGTGGATCTGTTGCCTGGAGAAAGACTTCTCGACCTTGAGTATGCGGACGATATTGTCTTACTGTGCGATAATGCCCAAGGCATGCAATCCGCACTTAATCAGTTGGCAATCAATGTCCGTAGGTATGGTATGTGCTTTGCACCTTCGAAGTGCAAAGTACTTCTACAAGACTGGCAGGATTCCAATCCTGTACTCACCCTGGATGGTGAGCAGATAGACGTAGTCGAGAAGTTCGTGTATCTGGGTAGCTGCATAAGTGCTGGTGGGGGGTGTGAGTGATGAGATCAATGCACGAATAGTGAAAGCCAGAGCGGCTTATGCCAATCTGGGCCACCTTTGGCGCCTTCGTGATGTTAGTCTGGCTGTAAAAGGTCAGATCTACAACGCGTCGGTGAGAGCAGTTTTGCTCTATGCTTGTGAAACGTGGCCTCTCCGAGTTGAGGACGTTAGACGACCCTCTGTGTTCGATCATCGCTGTCTCCGAAGGATTGCTGACATTCAGTGGCAACACCATGTCAGTAATGCAGAGGTTCGGCATCGTGTGTTCGGGCACAGAGATGATAATGCAATCGGTGTCACCATCTTGAAACACCGACTTCGGTGGCTTGGACATGTTCTCCGAATGTCGTCCCAGAGAATTCCACGTCGTGCATTATTTGCCGACTCTGGACTGGTTGGAAGAAGCGGAGAGGTGGTCAGTGCATGACATGGTGTCGTGGCATGAAAGAAAGCTGCAAAGGACTGGCTTGTGTTGGTCCTTCACGACTCCCTGGCTGGGGTCCGAGAGATGGTGCTACACAGTGGCTAGAGACGTTATCAGATATGGCTCAGAATAGAAGCCAGTGGCGATCCTGCTGTAACCTTCTTTTACTTTCTTCATAAAAAGTGGTTGTATCTTCCTTAACTGAAAGATTTCTTCTGATTGTACCTCTTCGTCATTACTCTCTTTTTCTTTTGCGTTCCTTAGTTTTTTTTCTTCTTTTTTTTTCTTTCTACTTCTCTTCGAATTCCCATTGTTTTGTGTGGCGCATATATATTGGCGCTCTCTTGTACCAATATTTATGTGTTCAAATAAATTTTCACCTGCCTGTTGATACCTATATTTTCCACCGAGAATTTTTTTAATTATCGGAAGTATTTTATCTTTTATATGATTTACTTAGATTGATAATTCACCAATAGAAGTAAATGACATCATTTATGGAAGTTCTGTCTTCAATTCACTCAATTCTGAAGGAGATTTTGTAAGTACCATTTTATTAACATTATTTCTTTTACTATCAGTACTGACAAGACTAATTGTTTTTCTATACAGTACGTGAATGAAAATGCCTTTAAACTTCCGCTAGTGTCTAATTTGACTACAGTGAATGGAGTAAGCGAACTCGTTGACTAACTAATTTATTATGGAAATCTCACCAACCTCGATAGACTATTGGTTAACAAAGTCTCGTCACAGATACTAAAAGGTATATGGATTTTTTCCACCTTACGCTATCACTAGTATTAGCGACATTTTCTTCTGCATAACACTGTTCTGTACTATTTTACAACTGTAAGTGAAGAAAAATGGCTTGATTGAATATTTGATTAGTTGGTCATCTTTTAAGATTAAGGGTAAGATTTTTAAAGGTTTTGAAGCATCGTTTTCTTTGTAAAGTGAATTATGTTAGCTGAATATTTCGAATTAATTATTCTGTTCTTATTACTTATCTGTTACACTAATTTTTCAGTCTCCTACGGACTTGAAAGTGTTACAAAAATATAAAGTATTTGATTAATCCTTTGATCATTGAAACAATGTTGTGGCTGGCCATTGAACTCCACATTTAGTACATTTTGGTAATAAGTTTCCTTGAATACGTTTACAAATTAATTTCAATTTGACTAAAAAGCGTGTGTTTACATTGTGTAATGTGAACATTTTGTAGTAAGTATGTACTTTATCAGCTTGGCAATATATTTTTCTCATACAAGCATATAGTAGAATGACGTGTGGTCTTACAAAAATAATCAATAAGATATTTTGTACCAACTGTGTTTTCTTTGATTTATTTTATTGCTTCAAACAGATCATTGTGAAATCCGATGGTATGCCTGTTTACCATTTGGCCAACGTAATTGATGATCATTATATGGAAATCAGTCATGTTATTAGAGGATTTGTAAGTTTATTATATTTTTCCATTTCCCTAATTTTATTTCAATTAGTGAGTGGCTTCAACAATCAAAGGTTATTTTCACTAAACATTGAATTCAATAATATAATAGTGTGCAAAGGCTAATTTCCTCTATATCTAACTCCAATAAGTAGTATCCCGTTTACTGAGTATTTACGCAGGCTAAATCTCCTAGTAGTATTATGACTTCGCTCAAAATTATTAAAAAGCCTGAATGCCAGTTGTAGAGCTGGTTTATTGTTAATGACTAGTAAAAATACGCAAGCGTGCAGAAAGCAAGCAGCGCAGGAAAACTAGTGAGAGTTTGTGTGTGAGTATTAAAAATCCATATATGTTTATGAGTGTTGTGCATAAGTTACTGATTGTTTGTGTGTTACACCCAATGGGAGAATAGATAAAGATTGATGTGCAGACATGCGCTCAGTCAATTTTACATGTTTAAATTACAGTGAGTAGACAAATAATAAAATAGTTGAATTGGCTCACTACAAGTGATCACCTAGTATTCTAGAGCCTTTTCAAAAGTGGTCATTAGTATACACATATGGACATCATTAAGATAAAGTAAAATATGGCTAATTAGCATTTCAGTGCTCCCTACTGGTTTATAAAGGGAGTAGTATGAAAGTAACATGGTATTCACTTGACCAAAATATTTTGAAGTTGATCCCTAGCAGATCCGTGGACGCCAACTGTTAGGGAGTTCTACGTTGTGACGAAACATCTGTTCAGTGGTCTCAAGTTTTCAACGTTTATACAGTTGACATCGATCCGTGTTGAGAAATCTGCTTCAGTATTCAACGGACATTGAATATGTTATGCAGGCGATTGTTTAGAAATACCTTTAGATTTTTGATGGTGGTTGCAGTAGTTCTCCAGGTTTCAGCTCCATACGGTAGAACTGTCTCGACGTTCGAACTGAAGATTCTGACTTTGATGTTGATTGACAGTCGTTTCGAGTTCCACATGTTCTTCAATTGTGCGAATGCTATCCTTGCTTTTCCAATCCTTGCATTTACGTCTGCATCGGATCCTCCTTGTTCATTTATGATGCTGTTCAGGTATGTGGACGTTTCCAACTCTTTCCTGACTTCTCCATCAAGTGTGATTGGGTTAGTGTTCTCTGTGTTGTATTTCAGGACCTTGCCTTTTCATTTGTGTGCGTTGAGGCCGAATGATGCAGAGGCTTCTACTACACTGGTTGTTTTGACTTGCATTTGATCATGTGTATGGGAGGGAAGAGCTAGATCACCTGAGAATTCAAAATCGTCTAGTTGCATCCAAGTTGTCCATTGTACTCCGTGCTTCCATTCAGATGTGGAGGTCTTCATAATCCAGTCAACCACTAGAAGAGAGAGAAAGGGTAAGTAGGCAGACTTGTCTGACTCCGGTCCTAACTTGGAATGTGTTTGTCAGCTGTCCTCCATACGTGATATTTCAATGTAATCCGTTTTATGAGTCCCATATGATGTTGACGGTCTTCTCAGGTACACCATATTGTCGAAGAAGCTTCCACAATGTTCTCCGATGTACGCTGTCAAAAGCTTCCTCATAGTCAAGGAAGTTGGTGAAAAGTAACGAATTCCATCCAAACTATTGCTCAACAATGATCTGTAGTGTGGCAATTCGGTCTGTGCACGACCGATCCTTACGGAATCCGGTCTGTTGACCTCGGAGTTGGGCGTCTACTGAATCCTCCATCCAATTCAGAAACACTATTGAAAACTCTTCCTGGTACCGATGGTAGTGTGATGCCTCTATAGTTCTCACATTTGCTCAGATCTCTTTTCTTTGGTATCTTGATGAGGTATTCTTTCTTCCAGTCAGTCAGTGGCACTTGTTCTCACTCTTAAACCTTACTGAATAGAAGGTGGAGCATCTTTTCAGTTACTTCTAAATTTGACTTCAGTGCTTCAGTTGGTATATTGTCAGGTTCCGCTGATTTCGCACATTTGATTTGACTGGTGATCAGCTTGATTTCTTCGATTGTTGGTGCGGTAACATTTATAGGAATGTCTGTGTGTGCGAATAATTAACAAGATCAAAATGTAGCTTGAAGAGAATGGATAATTTGGTTTGTCCAGAAACGAGAATAAGCTATGTGGTCTCGACATAGGACCAGCCACTATATGCCTTTATGTGTGACTTTGGTTCATCAGGTGGTTATCGTCAGGTGCTGCTGATTTCGCATACTTGATTTGACTGTAACCAGTCTGATTCCTTCGATTGTTGGTGCAGTAACATTTATAGGAATGTCTGTGTGTGCTGCTTCGATGTGCGTTAGATTCAGTGGAGTTAGCCTGTTTAAAAGTTCTTCAGTGTTCTACTCATCTGTTACTCTGTTCTTGAATCTCAATGATTGGCTTGCCGTCTTTGTCTCTGACTGGTTTACTATATCTCCCTACCAGTTTCTTCGTTGTGTCATATAGTTGCTTTATATTTCCTTCTGTTACAGATTTTTCCACTGTCACTAATATGTCTTCCACGTACTTCTGATTTTCAGCTCTCATGCTCTTATTCACTTGCTTGTTTGCTTCAGTGTATTCAGCTTGTGTCTTGACTTTCTCCGTTCTTGTTAGTCTGTTGTTAATTGCTGTCGTTTTGTTCTTCTTTTCTTAGATCTTGTCCAGGGTTTCGACAGAGATCCATTCGTTGTGATGATGATTCCTCTTGAAGTCTAGCATTTCCTGATACGTTGAAATTAGTGCTTCTTTCATCTCTTTCCAAATGTTCTTCATGATAGTTGTTTCATCTTCCAGCAGATCTTGTGAATCTTCGAACTTGTTGTTGAGAGTTATCTTGAATTAGTTGAGTATATCAGTATCTCGAAGGGATGTTGTATTAAACCTTTGTAATGCTGTTTGTCAGTTGTCTTCTTTAGCTTCATTTTCATCTTGGCAACTACCATGTGATCTGAAGCTATATCAGCTCATCTTGTCCTCACGTCTTCCTCTCATATAAAATCTGACTTATAATTTTGCAAGTTCTGCGCTGCCTGAAGCCTTCGACAGAGTTTACCATCACTTACTATTATCAACTATCCATCTTCCTAGTATTGATTCATCTATTTCCACAGTTTTGTTGTCCGATCATGAAAGAGCCATCAAACGCTCAAGTGAATTCAGTAATCCTCTCTTACTTAAATCTATGTGGTGTAAATACTCATTTCATATGTCAAAATTTATGGTATGCTAATTTAATGTCATTTACATCTCTACCCAAAATATCTTTAATTTTGCATATATTCTTACCCTGAAATATAGGAATGGTTTACTTCCACGCCTAAGCATTTGATGCTATATAAAGCTTTAAATTGGTCACCTCCACAGTTTGCACATCTTCCTCTGTTACTTTCCAGGTTAGTGGTAAACATTTTTTAGTTTCTTAAGACTTAGTAGGCAATCACTATGTATGTATTCGTCAGAATATGGTTTAGGGATTTTAGTTGTTTTGAACATAACTGTAATCATTTGTTCTGAATCGTTTCATCTACTTCGGTTCGCGCAGATGAGTTCCACCTTTAAGCTATTGCACCGGTCGTAATATACAAACCGGTAAATAACTTCTTAAGTGTAGCTCACAAAACCGTCAAAAAATTAGTACATACTTGTTTGTCGAGTTAATTTGAATAATTATACAGCGAATAAACATTTCTCTTTTCTGTCATATCAATTTAGTTCAGGTGGTAAACTGTCTAAACGTAGTCCAGAATTCTCTCTTATCGGTAGTGTTCACAGTTTGCGTAAGGCTGGTTATATGCCGTCTGCCGTATTGAATTGGTTGACATCCACCGGAGGTGGTGTCTGTCATGATGATTCTAACGAAAAGGGCGACTTTTCGAATAAGTGGAGGCCTGAATTTGAATTCTCTGAATTAGTTTCTCGAGTAAGTTACAATTTTATATATGGGTTTTTTCCTGGTCCTATATGCTTGATTTTAATTTTCTAAACTCCTGTGATATCTTCCGCTTTTTACCCTGTTTGAAAGCTAGGGGATCGTCAATCGGATATTTTTCAAGCCTTATCTGGACATGCATTTACTTTGTCTTTTAAATTGTTGTAAATACGATCGATAATTTGTCACAAGATACTACCCTTGATTTGTGGATCACACTAGCTTTTTCGATCACCATAAATGGTGAGCACAATTAGAAGGGAGATTTACTAAGCGCTTGTGCAGCAGTTATAGAAAGTGAAAGATTTTTTCCAGTATAGACTACTGAATGTCTTGAACTATTAAGGGAATGTTCTAAAGAAGATAATTTTTTTAAGTAACCCATCGACAGACAGCGCGTAATTACATATTTCAAGAGAAGACGAGTAAAATGATGGACGAAACACTGAAATTAAATCCAACTGAATTAGATAGAACTGGTATGGCTCAAAGCTGAGCACATATATTTATACTTGGTGAGTTACATTGCCAAATGAAACCAGAAAAGTACCCATATCTTCCATATTTTTATAATGAAGTCGAAGAAAACCAGCAAATTTTCTTGGATCATCTGCAATCACCTGATAAAATTATTGTAACAAAAGTATTGCTATTTTTGGTGCGAGTAGCACTGCTCAGTTAGTTTGTCAATGAAAACACCAAAGTCATTACAATATGGCAACATCCCATGCAAATGTATTCTGAAGTTCATCAATAAAACACTTTAAACTTCATTTCATCGAATGCAATAAATTTTAATACATATTTCTGGTTTTATATGAGCTAGCTTGAAACGTACCATTTAATTATTCCATATAGTTCAACTTAAGTAATATCAATCGTCATAACGCTCATTTATCAACAGATTTGTTAAAAATATGCGGCCAATTTCATTTTGATAAAGCTGTAAACAATGCATTGGATTATTGTATAATGCATCAAAAGCAAAGTAATCAGACCACTTATAAAACTCCACAAATACTAGAAACAATTAAAGAATATCTGCAGTCAAATGTAGAAAACTTATCGATTGGTAAAAGGTAAGACGCGCAGTATTTTAATGTCGTAATTGCATTTTAGATCAAGTGATTTCATTAAGTTTCCGTTTTATTAACCATTTGTCATTTTGGCTATATTTTCGATAGGCAAAAATAAGAGAAATGTTTAGTCACTTTGTGCTTTCACATAAACTTGGAGTACTGTCCAAATTCATATGTTCTGACAGAACCCTATTATCCAGTATATTTTTGTACTGTTTATATTCTTAATCGAGCGTTCTTGAACCTACTATAACATTATGTCATTCTAGTGAAATTCAGAAGCCTTATAGTTATCACTTTAAGTTCTTATTAAACTTTACTAAGTTTCAATAACTTTCTTATGTTTAGCAGTTACACCATACTATTATTGTAGTCTATTAGGGCGGTTAATTGTAAAGCGAGGCGACTGCTGGATCCTAATCTCAATAGGGTAGTAAACATACCATATAGTTATCAGAAATGTAAAGCACAAACCTAGACTCCATCACTAGCCATTATCAAAACATTTCTGCCTTATGTCCAGCTAGCAACCACGACCACCTTGCATTAGCTATATCATCTACGCACGTAAGGGATGCATATAATTAGGAGTTACTGTTTCTCATACTACTAGTCTTCAACAAGATTTATTTTTTACTGTTTACAGTTCTAAAATATATTTGGAAATATGCTAACCAATAGAAATTACGCCTACAGATTTGGAATCCAATTAATGAGTGGAAGTCATCTAAGACAAGATGAATAAAATGAAAAACCAAGCTTAGTCTATTGTTAGTGACTTATAAGATAAACGTGTACATTAATCACAAATGGAAAGCAGAAATTCAATGGATTGTGAAAGGCGTTTGAATCATAGAAATACCACATGGATGTAGGGTGATATCAATGAAACTAGGGTCAGTTGTGTACAGTCATCGTGCCAGTATCTGGTAGCGATAACGCTTAATTGTACCATTCTCAATGGCTTTTAACAGACGAATACTAGACTTGAGGATACTTAGAAACCATTATAGACTTGAAAGGGCGGTGTAAAGTATGGTCTACTCACCCAATAATTTTCGCACATTTTAAATACAATTTTTTAAGCAATTTCACGCGTGAATAAGTATTGTTCCTTGCTATTGTACAGACTACTATTTTTGCCTTAATATTTATATTTGTAGTCAATCTGCTCAAAATGATTTGCGTGTGTTGAAACGATTGCAACTCTTGAAATGTCGTATTCACTGCTTAGATGACTTAGTCGACCCCGATAATGGTTTCTTATTTATGTGGAAGTCTCCAGATTTAGCTACTTGTGAAGGCGTTATCACTAAAATTTCTATCAAAATACCTTTAGAAGATATACTCAGATTGTTTGGATGTTTTGTTGAAGAAATGAATCATATTCTTCAGAAAGAACAAGTGAATGATAGCACAGATTTAAACTCCGATGTGATAACAACTTCCCTTCAGAGTGTCTGCGAACGTTCAGGAGTTGAACGTAAGACTGTATTGCACCTAATCAGATTAGGCCTTATAGGATTCGAGGTAAGTGCTTGAATGATTCTTCTGTAAAAAAGCCAACTTTTTTCTCTTGCGAGCAATGAAATATTGAGAGTGCACTAGTTTTTCATCCATAATACTTATCATTCGAAATTACATGCAGTTTTTGGGGTACGAACATAATATTCATCGCCTTAAAGTATAGTTATTACCTTTTGTGTAACTGTATGTATACACTATTAGGAATTTTCGCCTACTTATTTACCGATGAGTCAGTAATCTAAAGTTTGATTGAAACATAGTGGTAGCCAGCAGCTAGAAACGGTAATCAAAATGATGGAATTCATTAGATGATCAAACGGTCAAGTAGTTTCAAACTGGTGTTTAAAATAACTTTTTACGACCTACTGTGAATTATGTAGCATATATCAACTTATTGTTTTGTCCTAAGAGAGGTTTCATAATATCACGCGACCTACCGATTGTTGGCACTATCAATTTATTATCATTGCGAGATGTTTGACACTAGCAATAAGAAATTAATATGTCAACGAACGACACGCAGTTGAGTTTAGTGTTTCAATAACGATGTTAGCCTTGGATCGTCCCAACGTATAAAATTTCTAATAATTGCCAGTATTTCATAATATAAATTATTACCTTTGAATATTCAGGTGGGGCCTCCTGTGGTCGAACTTATTCAATTGTTGTCCATACCAGAAGTGACTAATCGGATAAACAATCTAAAGAATTTTTTAATACGGAACTGTTCTCAATCTCATGAAGCTTTGTAAACGTTCATAGCCGGTCTTACTATTTTTTTCTGATTTGTATATTTAACTGATTCCTACTTTAAGATCAATATAGTACTTCTTGAATCTAACTGCCTTCTATTATTGAACACTTTCATTAGATAATAACTCAGAAGTATCTTTCGTTAGGGTTAACCAAACATCTGTATAATTTACTATTAATCTCTAATGCAGTTTGGTTTCTTCGCCCCTGTAATATCCTTGTAAGGAGTGTTGACTATGCTTCGAAAAATGGACAAATATTTAGCTAATATATCAAAGTCACAATATTACGAAAAAATGAATTTAAAATATCTAATAATTTAAGATTAAAATAAGCTTGAAGACTCTCAATTTAGTCTTGTGGTGAACTGTGTGCGTTGTCGAGATGTTAAACATGCCTATCATTCAAGTGTTTGATTTGCGATGTGTTATAGACTTAAATCCTACCCTGACTACCTGTCGGTTGGTATTGTTAGGTCTGGGCGTTACAGTCAAATCTGGCTACGTTTGTTGAGTTAAACTACTGGATTCTTGAGGTCAAACACGCTGAAAAATTTATGGGTCAATTGGATTGTAAAATGTGTTTACTTTCTCGAGCCATGCTGAATGGTAGATTAAGAGATGCCCACTGATGATCTAAGCAGCACCAGATTAAAGATGCTGTGTTCTCATAAATCTAAAGATCGCAACTGTCAATTTCATTCAAGAACATGGATTTTTCTTAATAGGTGACCTAAACAGCAGTAAGGTAATTAATTTCTAAGCTTTTTAGGTTGTTTAATTTAATATCTGCTGTGCAACCGCGCATCTTAGTTAGGAAAGCTGTACGAATCCCAGATAAAATCCTGAAATTTATTCATCAACGACTTCGTCTTACAAACAATAACAAACACGATCTACCTATTTAATAGACTTAATTCTCATGTTTTAGACAAAATACCAAATCTGTCGTCACTCTACAAGTAAACGTAAATAAAACTAGATCCAGTTTTACCTGGTTGACCATGTTAATGAAACGTTTATTTTGTGGAATCGTATAAATTTGCTCAATGTCAAGGACGAAATTACCATGGGAAGCTGTATATATTTTGTTTCAATTACCTGGTAGCATCATTCTACTAGCTTAGCATCCAACAATCCTCATATTGAGCATAATTCTAAGAAAACTTTATATAAATACTCAATTGACCTGTATTTATTGAATTAAACTATAATATGATTACAAAAACTAACAGTCCAGTGCAAATTCAGTGGATACATAGTCGATTGTAAGTTATCCGCTTTTTTGTATTAGGATCCTCAGTTAATTAAGATTAATATTGATAGTTCGATTCGTTGGAGTGAATTTTCTGTGGAAACACACACAAAGAATGAGAAACATAAAATCATACCTTATGCTGACACCAGCTTTATTAAATAAATATTTAGCTGCTTGATTAGATTCCGTTCCATTCTTCTTATCCGAATAATACACCACTTCTTTAATTCCAGCCTGTATAATAACTTTAGCACATTCATTACATGGGAACATTGTTGTGAATAGTGTGCAACCTCCAGAATGAGCTTCATTACGATTCAGTACGGCGTTCAACTCTGCATGACAAACTACAAGTCTCTGTAATAAAAAAACGTTAACAGACACTAGGCAGCATACCATAAAGATACTTATTTTCAAGTTCATTTGTTGATCCTTTTCCCCAAGGGACATCATCATCTAAAATACCGTTGGGCATTCCATTATATCCTATTCCAACAATTTTCTTTTCTTGGTTAACTATGCAAGCGCCAACCTAAGTTTGAAAAAAGAACACAAGGAATATGGAGATTACAAATTAGAAAAATAAGAAATAATAACTTAGTAACCATTAAAATATTTAAGTACAATAAATTTAAAATCGTGTCGACTGTGTACGAAAGCTGACGATAATAACTAACTTTGTCGAAAACAATCAGTTTTTACGTTGCTATATCCAAATTTTCACGAACATAGGTTTATTTTACGTTCGGATTCTAGTGATGTTAACCTACAAGATTGGTAGACATACTAAAAGAGGGACCAATCAAAGACTGAAGCAACACAGTGAAAAACATATTTCCAGGATAGTATTATTTTATGAAAAGTAATCCTCTGGGAATGTGGATAACAAACACGATTTTGAGGGACTCTCGGGATTTATCTGTCTGTCTAGTAAGTCAGTGGTATAAATACCCATTGGGTTATCAGTCGGCTTTTTATAACAACACATGAAACTCATACCTAAGGGGATTTGCAATCTTTCCAAGTAAACCAGTTAATTGTGAGAAAACGGCAACAAAGTCGAGGTGGATTTATGGCAACGTTCAAACAAACGCTTTATTAGCACATTAGGCGAAGGTTATGTTTTCAATAAATGGTCTTTTATTCTTTACTTCGGTTGATATAGACTGTCATTATTATTCGATTGTAGGCACCTCTCACTTATTATTCATACATGGTAAGACTGCTTAGTTAGTAATGTTGAAATTATGCTGGGGGTACTAATTTGAGATAATTAATCAACTGGAGAGGTTGTAAACCGTCGTAAACTAAGTAGGTCGGAATATATTACCCATACTAGGCTACCACACAATAACTGTGGTCCGTAGTTAGAGATTAAGATATCACTTAACAACCGTCCAGAAAGAACTGGCACATCTATTCCATATCTCTCAAGAGATCCTGAACAGTATCCGATTTTATTTGTTCTTTCGGAACTACGCTTGGTTGTCCGTCACAACTGATTATACTTCGAATATTCTGCCTTTCATCTGATTGGTTTTTAAAGCTTTGCTAAGGTGGAATACAGCAACTTGGGCTGAGGAAAATGTTGTTTGTAATTGACCATAGCCAAAAATTATTCGGTTTCTATTAGTATCCTTGGAAATTGAAACTACATATCTATTTGCAATATGAGAATGTTTACATGCAAAGCAACAGAGAATTACATAGTATATAAAAAACACTTACTTGAGTCGAAGGGTCTTTACTGCGCATAGCGGACAATAGTGCTATAGACATGAAATATTCATCCCATGATATATAATTGCTACGTTTTTGGTTTCCATTTAAACTGAGGTTTTTTAATTCTGGAGACAATCAAAACAAATATGTAGAAAACAATGCGTAAAAGTGACTAGAAAGGTTAAAAAAGAATGTATTTACCATTAGTTGATGTAAAGATTAAAACATTCCCCAAACCGATACGTCGTGGAGGGGAAATCTGATCTCCTGAAGGTTGCACCTGGCATATTTACTGAATTACATCTAGGTAAGAAAGTGAAATCTTGGTAGTCACACTAAGCTTTTCCACAAATAAAGGTTTGGGTTTATCAAAACTAAAAGCCTTTTAACTCTTGAAATTAGAAAGTTGGGGGAAATAGGCGAGATGAAAATACTGACATTGATTTTAGAAGTTTTATTGCGTTCGAAAAGTTAACAGAATCCAGTCTTGCCGATATCCCTAGTAAATTTCGGAAGTATACATCTAGGATTAGCTAAGAACAAGCTCATGTTAAGCAACTTACAATACAACCTGATGGGAAACACTCATATCAATAAAGGGAATGAAGCACTATCAAGTCCAACAACCATTGTATAAAACGCATCTCAAAGCGACAGCGATCGTCGTCTTACTCTTCGAAGTATGGGATTGTAAAGCAGCAAAAGTAAAACGTATCTTTTTCTTTGCGGATTTTGAACCGTAGAAGTTAAAATAACAGACAACCAGTGGATTGAAAATATATGCCTTTGTAGATAGGGGTACTGTAACAAAACACTAAATGTCAATAATAACTATTAATTCGGAAATCGACCAATCCGATAACTGAATCAGGAATAAGAAGTCTCGAGGATCCAGACGAGTCATGGCTTCGATAAGTATCGCTTAACGTTGCTAAAATAAGAGATATAATTTACGTTTGAGACAATAATAGAAATTATTTTGTATATTGACATGATTAGTATAGCTCTCCATTCACAACAAGAGCTCTGAATGGAAGTGTCTTAGTAGTTGATTATTGAACCCGTGAGTCCTCAAAGAGTATGCAGTTTCAATTTATAAACATAAAGACCAGCATATATAACAAATCGTAAGGGTTAAATGATGTGTATAACTTTACAAGCAACATTTTTAAGTTTGTTCTCTTGCGAATACGAAAACATATACACAAACCTTAGACGTCATGATAAGATTGCTTGCTACCTTAAAGTATAAACAATTCTGTGGGGGAGGGTTCGTATAACTAACGTCGTCGATGACTACAAAATATTCGTCGGAAACAATCCTCGGGCTAGAACCCAGATACTGAATTGGTGAAATTAATATCTTAAATACTTTGTAAGGTTAAATTATTTAATCATGTCAACATAATACCAAATTAAAAGTACTTTCACGTACCGTTATCAACCATGTTCTTCAAAATACAATTATACAGTCCATATACGGTATAAGTATTTCAGATATTCACGGACGGTTATGCCAGGACTAATGAACTTTCATTTATCTGCAAGAGAAGAACATAAAGATTTAAATTGGAGATTTAAAACTGGACTGATAAAAGCAATCAATAGATCAGCACCATATATGGACATAATGAAGACCAGGTACGACAAGAACTATTGGAACCATTTCTACTTCCTGGTAATCCTAAGAGATCAGAAAGTTGACATAGTTGTGTGCAAGGATAAGGTACAATATATCTACTTGGTAAAATTGAGTTTGTATCAGTCTATAGTGATTTGCCTATCAAGAATTTACGAGAATGGATGGACGAAATATTCCAAGTCAAACGCACGATTGTAGGATATGATAGCGAAAACATGATGTGCAACACGATTTTGGAAAAATGTAAACTCGTATTAAAACATGAAAGTCCTCTTGAGGTGATTTACAAGCTTATCATTTGTTTACGCAGAATATTAATGACAAATGTATTCGAAGTTTGACGATGCCTTTACCAGTAACATCTTCATACCTACCCAGTAAAATCAGAAGTCAGAGATGGGGGGTTCGAAGATATATTTAGAAGGCTATCTATACGCAGAGAAGCATAACGCCGTAGAAATGCATTCCAAACATCCTGGCATTGTTGCTCAGTGCTACCAAAATACTCTGCATTTTATCAGTGTCTTCACCAAACAGGACAATGTTATCTGCGTATTCTAAGTCAATCAGTGAACGTTCTGGTAGGAGATCAATGCTCGAAAATTCAGTCGATGAAAATGTTATTTCCAGCTATAAGTCTATGATGAAGTTGAACGAAAATGGAGATAGTGGACAGCCTTGTCGGACACCACTTGAGGTTGCAAGAATAGATGACAGTTAGCCATAAGCTGACTCGGCTGGTAGTGTTTGAGTAAAGGGCTTTGACAAGGTTTACGTACTTCTGAGATGAGCCTTTCAGTGACAGGCACTGCCACAGAACCTCTTAGACTACAGAGTCAAATGCTGTCTTTAAGTCAAGAAAAGCTATCATTGTCGGACGCCAATAAGTACACCTGTGTCCTAAGATTTGGCGAATGGTATGTGGTTGTCACAGGATGATTTTGAACCATTTTTATGTATTGGGACGCTCAGTGATTGCGACCAGTTAGGCGGGATTACGTCTAACTCTCAGATTTTAACCAAAATATTAGTCAACCTAATCGCTAAAACGTGACCGCACCGTTCAGTTCAACCTTAAGGGGTCTTCTTAATGGGATTTTCCTGCCTTCAACGAGGCGCAAACGAATGTATGCTAGCATTGGAGCACGACGAGTCTAAACATGTACTCCAGAACAAGAGGCAGTCTTCGATCGAGCCTCTCCAACGGTGACTGATGGCAATGTAGTCTATTGGTTCAAATGGTTGTGGACGGAATAGAAGCTTTCGCTTAACAGGCTTCCGTGTCTAGTAGCAGGGGATCACCAAATCCTCCAGGTAGGAACCTAGGTATGTTAACAATAAAAGAGGAAAAGAAATTGGTAAATCATAGTGTGATGCTGTCCTTGGTTCTTAAGAATAGGTCAAGTTGCCTCTTGAAGGACTCCTGAGAAGTCGCTTGGACTAGCTCGGCCGGCAGCGAATTCCAGCTTTTGACAACTCTTAAGGAGTAGAAGTTGTGTCTACATTCCGTCTTGCTATGTTGTGTTTCCAGTTTCTGGGTGTTACCCCTTAGGTTATTATTCGAACTAAGCTTAAGTAGGTGTTTAAGAGGATGTCCAGAAGTGTTAAGAATACTATAAGCCATTAATAAATCACCTCTAAGACGCCTACATTCTAGTGGGTAAAGGTCTAGTGAACGGAGGCGTTCTTCGTACGGCTTAGATTTGAGTCCTCGAACTGATTTCGTGGCTCGCCGTTGGATACGCTCCAAAGTGACCTTGTCCTTTTGGAGTGACGGGGGGAGTACTACGTTTCCGTACTCTGAATGGGGACAGATGAAACTATTGAAGATTGTGTGGAAAGTTCTTCCGTCAAACTGGCCAAAAATGCGCCTCAACGTTACCAGTGCAAGGTTTGCTCGGAAGGCATTTTTGTCACAGTTAGAGTAAGACTTTAAGTCATGGGGCACCAGGACTCCTAAATCTTTTTCGACTTGGGATACTACTAGAGAGGAGTTTCCTAAGTTGTAACTGTAGTTTGCGACATGTCGCAGATGGACTACTTTACACTTTGAAGTGTTAAAGGTAAGTCCATTATCGTCTGCCCAACTTTGAAATCGCGTCAGATCCTCCTGAAGTGCCTGTGTATCGTCTTGGTTGCGTATCTCTTTCCAAAGTTTCACGTCGTCGGCAAAAAGTAATAAGTCTGACGTTACCTGTTGAGGAAGATCATTTATGTAGATCAAGAAGAGAAGAGGCCCTAGTCTATTTGAGTCCATCGTTGGTTTAGTTCAGGGGGTCGCCATGTTAGACGATGTCTCTCCTTATGCTTAAAATAAGTGCTTGTTAAAAATAAACGAGTGTATGAGCACAAAACACGTTATGTGGTACAATGTACACTGTTACGTAACAGTGAAAAATATACAGTGAGAATTTATAATAGTTAGAAGTATTCAAATTATTGTGGTAACCAAGATCTCCAGAAATAATGAGATTTGAAGCAGGTAAAAGTAGATAACCACAAACGTACTGGGCACGGCTTAAAACGTTAGGTCTTTTCGAAATGTGCCCGCCCTTTCGTTTCAACGACCTTGAACGGCTTGACTAGAGGCGGTCATTCCGTATTTTAATTGCCATGGGTTAGTTGGATTGCATGAGTATCAAGTTTTTTCATATATAAGTCATCTTATGCTACGTAAAAAAGCACGAAATAAATACCAAAACCGTTAATTTAGCGTTCTATGTTTTGTAGTGTACACTTTGGCTCTGTTGTTGCTTTGTAATTTGATCTTTGATCCCAACAACTGTAGTAAAGCTCAACGAAATGTCAAGTCACAGGTAAATCCTAAGTATTTGTAGTATTTCCTTGGGTTATTATTGTTGCAAGGTGAGCACGAAATACGTCAAACTGCTTATAAATTGAAACTATCTTCCAATCACAAAGATTACGAGAAATCACGTATGATGGAAAAAAGGCTGTTAGTAGCTGATAAATAACGACACATAAAATCCACGACAATATGTTACATGTGCGCGAAAACCCGTGACCTAGCACGCATAGTGTGCTGGAAAAATGTCAGACTTCTTCAAAGCTGTCCGCCGTTTTGTTTCAACGACCTTGAACGGCCTGACAAGAGGTGGTCATTCCGTATTTCAATTGTCGTGGGTTTGTTGGGTTGCATGAGTATTCAGCGCACCTTCAATAACAAATGAATAACCAGTTCGTACGAATACCACAAAATTTCAATCCATAGTATTGTTCGTCGGTCTTTTTGTCCTTTTCAATCATCCCGGGAAAGCATTGAAAAGGAAGAGTAATCACGTTTTCAAATACACTCATATGTGCGTAAGGACGTAAAATGTGCGAAAAAAGAAAAATACCTGGACTACATGTATGTACATTAAATGCGATAGCACCAAAATATTTCACAACGATTGTTTTGAAGTTTTCAAGAACGAAAATATACACAGAATCATGAAAATACTAAAGATAAATAATGCTTTTTTAACGCAGCGATACAAACAAATAAGATAAAACAAAATTCATTTGTTGTTCTACGTATATTAGCCGTTTAGGTGTTCTGGAAATATTACCCTTGTTCCACAGTGTGCTGCATTGGGCTAGTTTTTTGGTACTAGCGAAGTATGTTCATGATTATTGATTATCGCCGAAGGCATTGCAATTGTGCTGTCAATCGTCAGTAGCGATAGTTGAATAGTAGCTGAATTTCGCTACTAACCGCTCGATGAAGCGCGAGTCACTGTTTCAGTAGTAACGTCGTTAATCAGTCTTACTCCTGGCCATCGTGTGAAACGGCCAACACATTTTAGGGGGTAAGACTATTGGTTTGAATCTAGTAAGGGTCTTACCAAATCTGGATGGACATGGTCGAAACGAGCATCGAGAGTTTTGAAGGAGCCTAAGATACATTCTTGCGTCAAATCAACTTGGATTTCAGGCAGCGTACCAACTAATTCACATCTTTATTTATATAAGACCATCAAAATCTTTCTGTTATCAGCTTACAGTTGTTACAACGCCTGTGTGAGACTTTTTAAACTACGTATTGAAGACACTGTTTCAATAATTTTCCACAAGAATGGACGATCTTAGCCTGTAAATGTGTTGCATAGTAAAGTATTCTTACTTGTCCTCTTCTGTTTAATATGCAGTTTCAGAGTTGTCTATGATAACTCCTGCTGAAAATTAATATACTCTTCTTGGAGTTGGGTGAGTTTAAGAAAATTAATTCCTTAGAAACTGTTCAAAGAAGTTACACGTGACAAAGCGTCTGCAACTACATTGTTTGCCACGGAAATGTGTTGCATATCTGAAATGAACTACTAAATGTAGTCCAGTTTTCGAGACTTTCTAGAGGACTACTTGTCTGAAGACGAGCTTAGGAGAGAAGTTGAGAGGTTTGTGGTCGTCGAGAAGAGTAAATTGTTAGTCTTTGACAGAGTGTTGAAAGTGCCGTACAGCACAATATATGGCTAGGAGTTCTCTACCGATAGTTCTATACCTTGATTCGGTGTCCAGCAAACGTCTCGATAAGAATGCAAATTTTTCAGGTGTGGTTAACCAACTACTGTAGGATTCCGGTTGCGAAGTCGTGTGCGTCTGTAAAATTGTGGTGTACTATAATATTAGTAGTGCTCTAATAATAGACCTGATCCTAAAATTGCGGATTTGTAGTGATACAACTGCCTAATCTATAATGTTTTACGTGGAAGTCACATCGTTGTCAACGCCAACTCATCGCGTAATAAGAATTATCAACATATGATGAAGGACACATTTAGGCTGGATATAGAACAATATATTTAATATGGACAGAATATTATGTTACTACGCTCGATAGTGACCACGCCTGCGAGTTTGAGTCATGTCATCTGGTCAATTCGAATCCTTTCCATTGCC